AATTTTCACTTTTATAAATAATACATACCCAAACCAAACAAACACATCCACTCAGACAGTAAATAAAATTTTTGTAAGGATGGCGCCCAGTTTGAGGATGACAAGTACAGAATTCCATTTTCCACTGCAATGGAAATAGTGGGACAAATGTTTCCTCCAAATTATTACTTATTTCTATTGCGGTTAAAAAACGCAGTTGTCTTATTTTTAACCCGGCGTTCGCACAGTTGGGTCTATTTGACCCGAGCAGTTTTCAAATGAGCGTGTTTCTTAAAATGTTTGTGCGACTTTGCCAAACTTCTCAGTAGCTGGAGCTAATGGTCCCCCCCTCCACGTGGGATTTGCCAATCAGTCGTGTTGCGGCCGCAGCGAGTGATAGACACGGCCAAACACGAAAAAGGTAAATATGACCCAACCATACTATTCGTGTCGTAATTTTGCGCCGTTTAAAAAAATGTTTTATTGTTGTTTTATATTGTTTATTTTGTTATTTTTGGCAAATATGTCTGAAATAAATGCGTACATATTACATAACGCCAATTTCTAAAGAAACTTAAGCCTTATACTGGTTCGTGAGCATTTGCGCAATCGTAAAGATGTCATTCAGTTGCTAAGACTTATACGCAAAAGAATAAGAGAGTTTTTAGGAGTAGGTACCTGATGAGGAGCCACCTGTGAAGATACTTTATGTAAGAAAGAGATGCCAAGACTGTTCTGCCAAAAAAGATAGAAAACTAATAATTTTCGGAGCTGTATATGCAAATACATCTGCAGTGACCATGCAATGTTGTACTGCCGAGATTGCGCAGATGATAAGGATACTATGACTGACGTATGAGACTGATACAAATAGTATAATATTATTAGTTTACTAAAGATTTGATTAACATGTAACAAATTAGTTTATGTTATATAAAAAAAAATGTTTTGTTAAAATTTTATTACTTTAAGACAGAGGTTGTCCATTTTGTTAATATTTTGTGACACTTTTATGAAAATGACATTAAAAAGATAGTTTCGTATCATGTTGTGTTTTTTTCTACTCAAAACCTATAACGATAATCGTTTTATACAGATAGTACAACCACATACCAAATTTATTTTAACTTTTGTAATTATGGCGTTTTCTTATACGGGTCCTCTCGACCCAACCCTACTGTCGTTGATGCATATTTTGACTGTGCTGACGCCGGGTTAAATAAATTTCTAAGGAGATATTGAGAATTTAATCTATAGAATAAAATAAAAACATAACTTCTCGTTAATTATAAAAAATAAATAGAGAAAAAATTATGCATCTTCCATTTCTACTACTCGTGGTGACCTACACGAATGATTTTCTGATAGATTTTTATTCCCTTCTCATCGTATTTATTCCTTATGTTTATAGGTTTTGTTTTTAGTTCATCCTTTCAATCACGTAGTAACAAAATATGTAATCCCAGTGCATGATCTGCGTAGATACATAATCATTGACGTGTTCAGATATTATTGAAAAGTTGTATGTTCAGATATTATTGACAGGCATCTGCTCAGATATTATTGAAGTAATGAATGTTCAGATATTTATGGTCACTTGTAGCGTATAGAACTTAATGACATTTTAACTGTTCAGATGTATTTGGTCACCTTGTATGCTCAGATATATCTGATGGCGACTGTACTCAGTCTTTCGATTTTATAGTGCAATAAAATATATAAGTAGTAGTGTTTGTATAATTCATAATTTATAGTGTAAACACGCCCGTTCCACACAGTACGTAGCTGTCTGAAATGTGTAGTTTGTTGCAACATTTATAACATAAGATGTTGCTAATAGACCATCGCACAATTGGCCGTTTATATTCTGGTATTTAATGGATATAATTTTTCATTTACGAATGTTTTATTACTTTTAATCAAGTATATTACGATTTAATTTGACTTCATTGGTTTATAGTTGTTTATAATTAGGATTAGAAATGTTTTAATAAGCACTAGTTTAAATCGCAACATTAAAGCCCATTGTAGAAAATGAACAGCGTCACAAAATACAGAATGCCTAGTACAAGTGTTCCAATCTATATAATTTATAACTCTATTTACAACAAAAAATGTAATTTGTAAAACCCTTACAATTATTTCATTTTATTTTCCAATAAATATAATTAATGTTTTTTTGCTACTGTAATTTCAAATATTTTTTGCAATTTCATTAGTAGCTATAGATTCTGCACGCTCTCGTGCTCTACCTGATGTAAATTTAGATTTTCCTTAGCTGACTTAGTTAGAACATTTTGTTCATATTTGTTTTAGGTACTCTAACCTACAGCATCGTTAATCAAAATGTCCTTAATCAAAGTGACCTTATAATATATATAAAAAAAAACTTATATTCGTAAGTACCTACCTACTTGATATTTTATGAAAAGGCACATAAAAGTAAAACAAAACTGTAACTATTAATGAACTTTATATATATTTAGGTGCACCCATCACGTGTGCTATCTATTCTTGTGAATGCCTCCACTCTCCAGTGCTGTGTCAGTGAGTCAGTAACTTGCCGGTGCTTCCTTGAATAGTTATCCGATATCGGGTTTGGATGTCTGAGTTTCTGGGAACGAATCTTCTCTAATAATGTTGACGTCATTCTGAAAGAATGCCTATTTGAAATGAAATAATATATATTTCTGAAGTCATGCTTGTTTCATATTATTCCAGTCCAGTAATCTGTATCAGTAAATGGACTGAATGGTTTGAAATTTTTTCGGTCATATATTCAATCCAGTACTGGAATAGCAGTCTACACTATTCCAGTGGCGCTGAATGAAAAGTAGAAGGTCAATTCAGTCACATTACTTTAGCACTGGTTTCAATCTAGACATCTAGACAACTATACATCCAGGCTACTGGAATAATATTAACCGGTCATTAGGTAAGTAAAGAAGTAAGTCTGAAAAATGTGTTTACCAATTATATTATATGTTGTTTTATTTGAACATATATATATCTATATTTATTGGTACTATTTTTCATATTATTAGTCGGTGTGGCACTTTTGTCAAGCAACAATAATGTAACGCGAAGCGACCACATTTATCAAAATGACAAAGAAACCAATGGGCATTATAATACAAAAATGAGGGCGTAGGTTTGCCGTTTCAAAGGTCGACCAAAGATTGTGATTTTTGTATCTAATATATGGCGACTTGTTTATATAACTTTACGCCGATCACGCCCTATGAATTTGAAAAGCATTAAAGTAATATGCTATTATGTGATAAGAGAGTTGAAAGTTCTTTCAGTAAACGTGTACTTTCAGGTATTTGAGGGGAGAATCATCATAGATGTTTTACTCTTAAGAACATATACATCATCATCATCATTATCACCAGCCTATTAATGTCCCCACTGCTGGGGCACAGGCCTTCCTTATGGATGGAATAGGCAGATTGGGACATGACCCACCACGCGGGCCCAGAGCGGTTTGGTTGGTGGTCGGTCATTGCATGGGCTTCTAAAAATCTTCTATCTCGTTCTTCCATGCTTCGGAAGGCACATTTAGCCGTTGGTCCCCGCTGCATCTGCAGTCGTTAGCACCCGCCAATACGCACTAGGCTCGCGAGGTGAATCATGGCCCAATTTCCCTATTCCATACATAGGGAAGGCCTGTGCCCCAGCAGTGCGGAAATGCGGGTTCGAATCCCGCTTAAAAAGCTGGACCGAATGTTTTTTTTCTAGTATTCTTTAGAATACTATATTTGGATGCAGTATCCCAGAAGATTTAGGTTATCACTCCAGCGAGAAATCCCTTATTGTTATATCTAACTACTTCAATGAACATGTTTCATAAAGAAACATTTTTTTTATCAAATCTTCACAATCATCATGAATTCAGGAAACAAGGAACAGAAGAAAAATATCTGTTTAGCTCTAAGATTAACTTCAGTGGAATTATTGAGATTTGTTTTCCTATAATGCTACTATTTATCTTTATATATATAATTCTTCTGTGAGTGTGTATGTCACTGAACTTCTCTTAAACGACTGGACCGATTTTGATGAAATTTTTTGTGTGTGTTCAAGGGGATTTGAGAATGGTTTAGATTCACAATTTTGTCCGCTGGACAACCCCTATTTTTTAGGGCGGTACGAAGTTCGCTGGGTCAGCTAGTATCTTATAAAAAGGAATCGATAAAAATAAACTTCTATTCTCTAAAGCACTTTATAAAACAAGGTAAGTCGTAAAGATAATGAAATTATAGTAAAATTGGGAGTTTTTTTTTCAAAATCAAAAATTAAACAAGTTACTTCGACTTATTTAGATATATTATTAATTTTATCTTACACTTAAAATAAATAGCAACGAACAGCGTCAAAGCACCAAGAGTCGATATAGGCAATATAAAATATTATCATAATAATTCATCTCCATCATCTTGATCGTGACCATACACAACATTGCGATTTTGTCAAAAAAGAATACCACGTACAATTAAGCTGTGGAATGCATTGTCGACAGCAGTGTTACTGGATCAATACGACCCGAAAACCTTAAAAGAAAGAGCGTACTGCCTCGTTAAAGGCTGGCATCGCATTTGTGGTACTCCTGGTGCTGCAGGTGTCTGTGTGGCGACGGTAATCACTAACCTACCCCTATAATATAACAATAAAATCTTTCGAGAATCGAATATTGTATAATTATAGTGAATACCAATATTTTAACAATGCTTTCATTTGCGATGCATAAATAGATTTTCATCTTTTACTTTTTTAGAGATTTATAGGTTAAATGCTTCTTTAAAACAATTAAGAGATTTATAGTTAAAATGCTTCAAAAATTTCATGAGGTACTTTCGAAATTAATAGGTTTAATATAATGTCTTAGGCGCTTTATTCTTTCTGCTTACGCCAACCATGACTCGGCGTGATGATATAGATTGACAGAAATAGGCCTATATAATTATACCGACGTAATTACAGTGAATGTTTGTTTGTACACTACTAAGGGTTATCTAATTATTATGTCAACTCTTTTCCATAAGTTAATTGTAGACGCGGTTAAATAACTGTTATATGAAAAAGTAGGATTGATTTGATTGATTAAAATTGCTTAATTGCAGTTTAGTGCCTGTAATTGAAATAGTTAGAATACAATAACTGTCCTTACCGTGATAGTGACGCACCCACTGTTAGAATCATCTATTCTTCATTTAGCATTAAGTGTTCAAGACAGAGATCATACATATCCTTTGATAAGTTTTGAAGAAACAAAATGAGCGAAGAAACAAAAATGTATGAAAAGTTATTAAAACGGGTCAACACGTTGCTTATTATGGCCGGTTGTCATTTTGACGAAACAGATGCAAAACGTACTGTCATACAGCGTTTCAGTAGTAGAAGGTATTTTTGTTTCAATATGGTTATGTTAACCATTCACTTGATATGTGATTTTACTTGGCTTGCCCTTGAGTATAAAAGGGCGAGTCTAATAGAACTAACATATTTCATACCATGCGTGACTCTGAGTTTGCTGGCTTGCACAAAATCATATTTATTAGTAAAAAACGGGGAGCACGTCATCGATTTAATAAAATCTACTAAGATATTGCAAGCCATATCTGGGAGATTTGAATTGAGAACAAAGACAGAGAGAGAATCGAATAAAAGCGTGACAATACTCACAGCATTCATGAATTTCAATCTTGTATTGTACATTCTGGGCTATATATTGTTTGCCATAGGCCCATTGATTTTGACGGGTGTTTTATACAAATCGTCTGGGAAACTTGTAATGCAAATACCATTCGTAGCTTGGTATCCATTTGATGAAACTGATATACGATATTGGCCTATTGCTTATTTTCATCAACTTTGGGCAGGTAAGTACAATGATTTAAATTAGAATTAGATTAACAAAATTATACTGATTATCATCTAGGAAAAAATATGAATAGGTCAGTGTTTCGCTTGAACTGTCCATTGAGCTTATTATATTTACAGGATTTTTTGATGCGTCTTCCGTCCACGGATCTGACAGCTTCTATTCCCTATCCTGCGTTTTCCTTCAAATTCAGTTCAAAACGCTGCAATATGATATAGAGCAAATTATTCCTGAAGAGACAAACATTAATACCCCAGAATTTTACAAAAGCTTTAGAAAAAGATTTATGCTTATAGTTATGAGACACCAGGAACTAATTAGGTAAGCTTAAAATTATAAAGGTTATTTAACTTAAAATTCTTATGTTTACAAGACGTAGTTTGAGGATGTTTCTTTACTTTTATACTATATACCAGTGTAATATAGGGTCACTTGACAATAACACAATGCCTTTTTAAAATTGCCTGGGGTTTTCCACCGCGAGGCTCGTTTACCGTTTACCTTGCAATACAAAAATGCATACATCATTCCCACCAACAAAGAGTCGAGCGAAAATGACAAAGAGGGCAAAAACAGTAAAAATGAGCTAGTTAGTACGGAACTCTTCCTTGGTGGAAAAGCAATCCTATTTTATGTTCACGAAGACCGCTCCGCTAGACATCCCTAGTTAATTCCTCTTTGGCGGTTGAAAATGGGACTCAGGATCCTTTTTTAGATGGCCATTTCAATGCTTAGGGTTCAAATAACCCTGGACCCAACGCGGTCGTCTTTAACGTATCATTATAAATCGATTTCTTGTTATAAGTGATAGATTACAAACCATTAATTAAGTTGCTGGGCTGGGTAGGATAGGTAAAGTAAGGGACTCTAATCGGCAAACCCGGCCTAGCAAATAAATTAACGGTTAGTTATGGAGGAAGTTCAAAGGAAAATAATCATAGCCGTTTCGGTAGTAGATTCAGCCATGATAAACCTATTTGGCCTTTGGACGACAACATAAACCATAACTGTAAAATTTCATTATATAATAAGACAACATACAAATGGTTATCAGTTATGGACACCACCGACGAACAAAAAAGTGTATTATTAAATTAAGCATGTAAAATTTCAGGTGCGTAAATGTGCTCGAGGTGATTTATTCAAAATCTAATTTGTGCATTATCGCCGTAAGTTCCATTGTGATTTGCATCAGCGCATTCAATTTTACGGTAGGTATTTAATTTTCGTTTTGAAAAAGTTTACTTTACTATAAATATACGCAAATGCATCATCAGCCTAAGTTATCATCCTATTAATGTCCCCATGCTGGGGCAAAGGCCTTCCCTATAGATGAATCAAGGAGCACGGGCCACGATCCAACACAGGGACCCAGTGCGAATTGATGAGTGCTAATGACTGCAGATACAATCAAGACCAACGGCATAACGGCATAAGTGTCTTGCGAAAGCAAGGAGGAGCTTTATATAACAGAACAACGTTGTGTTGTGTTTTTTCAGTAGTGGGTAAAGTTGTTAGACTTTCTTATGATGGCACAAGAGTGTTCAGATGGAAGAGTGATACCGCACGCTTTTTTGAGATAATATAGTCACGGTATAGTATAGATCAACCGTGGTGATTACGGCGCCATCGTACTCCTCACTATCTTGTACCTTTTTTTTTAATGTGTATGCTGTTGGTCGCAGATGACCTGTACAGCGTCACCAGGTTTGGGGACCGCGAGATCTTAAGGGGAACTCAAGCCGAGAATTGGCGAGTGCCTCTAGAGATATTCCAGGCGGATGGCATCTCCCCACGGAGTCTCCTCTCCGTCTGGAGCCTCTAGACCACTCGAACCTGAAGCCGACCCCCTGGTCGGTTCAACTAGAGGGCGTCTCTGAGACTCGGATCTCGGTTTTAGTTAGCCGTTGTCCTTGTTAACCTGTAGTTGGTATAGCGTGTCGTGTGTAGACCGGGTCTTCGCACTCTTTTCCTACGGGTGCGGTGTCTGCCTAATGCTAAACTAGTGTGCAAGTATGCTAGTTGTGTAGTGTTGGTGTTTGTGGCCTGTGTGGGAGGAGTCATCGTCGGGGTACTCTAAGACGTGCCTAGGCTGACGGAATCTGAGGGACTGTCTTGTACCGATTGACATTAATGACTTCATTATATTGCTTATAAAGATGTATTTGTATTCATTATAATTATAACCAATTTTATTTTCAGACATCTGATGATATAATCTGGAGGACAATTTTCTTAGGTTTTTTCATCATGTGGTTACTTCAAGTTTTTTCCTTATGTTACTATAGTAACCTTATTAGCTTATCTGTAGGTGAACATTAAATTTTTATATTTTCTTTTTTATTTATTTTTTGGTATTGTGTTATAATAATGTAATCATTTTTACAGAGTACGGAAGTTAGTAATGCTATTTATAACAGCTACTGGTACAAAGCTAACGCAGAAGTTATGAAAGACTTGCTTTTCGTATTGAGAAGGTTTGCAAATTTAATTTTATTTAAAGATACTTACACTTATACATAAAATCACCTGTATTCCTATTTAAAATAAACGTAGCGTTTGTGTCTATCTCTAATATCATATTAATGTATGCAATACATACCTTCAACAATTTGGGCTGGTATAGACAGACAATTGATACCTACATGTCTTTTGCTCGGTAGGTCCTACAATATATCCCTTATTACACGACGAAAAAGTTATACCAGATATCGTCTTCAGCGTCCAGGATTCGCCTAACGGAAATGCTTTGGAAAACGCTAACGCTTTAGATTTTATTTTGTTATTTCTGACCGCTGAAGGTTTTCAAATACTTCACGCTCATTATTTTTAATATGGTTATTACCAATGCAAAAGAAAAAAAAGCGCGAGGCATTTGCAAACCTCAGGCGGCTAGAAATAACACAATAAAATCGAAAGCGTTAGCGTTTTCCAAAGCATTTCCGTTAGGCGAATGGCCCCCAGGGTCTTCTTGAATCTTCGCTGTACGAAAACTGATGTAACGGGCTGCCAGATAAAATAGATCCTTGTGCGTCCTATCTATACAAAACCAAAGAATGCATGCGGCTTGGGATAAAATACTATTTGTACCATATCTATCTTACTGAGTTTCTTGCTTCATTTTTCTTTTTCTACTTTACACAAGTGCCTTTTAACAAAATAACTCACATCGTACACTTATTTCTGACCATAATTCAGTTTATATAAACAAATCCACGCGGTCCAGGGATCAGACGGGACTCGAACCCGTACCCTCCTCTCTTTCGTCGTCTCTTCGGGGAATCTGATCTGAGCGGTTGCTCACTACAGAGGTGGCGGGTTCGCATCTCGTCTTCGGGACGGGACGGTCATTGGAGCTGTTACCCCCGCCTCCGCTTCTTCACACGTTGGCCTCGGCGCGGTCAAGCCCACCGGGTGAGACCCATGAGGGAGGCCCAGTGAGCGACCAGCGTACATTTTTTTCGGCAGCTTCGGGGGTAGGCGCGGATTTTTCCGCGGCCTGCGTGTACGTCTGCGTCGGCTGCGTCGGTGAAGCAGTTGATATGTCTTGCGGCTGGTCTAGGGAGGCAGGGGTGGTTTCCTGCTTCGCTGTGGGGGTTGTTACCTCGGTGTTGGCAGGTGCATCCTCCAGAATGGGCAGAAGATCACAGCTGCGCGATCGGCGCGGATGAATATCGCATGGTTGCACTGCGCGGGGCTGCCTCGGCTGAGTCTGGATGGGTTCCAGGAAGATGGAAGTTGGCGGCGGAAGCGTGAGGGGCTGCGAGTTGAGGTTCCTGCTTCCGGTCACCGTGCTGTCTTCCTCATCCAGTATGCGCATGTAGGCCCAGATCCAATTGGACAACCTTTGTGAGAGCAGGCCTGACTGCATGAGTCGGCTCTACATCGCCGCGTCCAATTCATATTGGGAGCGTTTCGGCCTCGAGCTGATCACCTTGGCTGCGAAAAGGGCCATGGTTTGGGCCAATCCTGCGTCCGCTGGAGGGTTGGGGCATAATGGCATCGTATAAGTAGGTGGTGGTGGTGTCCATGCTGCGTGATGGGGGCTACGTCTGCGCGAACCTGGCCGAGCGCCGCCTTGCGGCGCGCTCAAGGCCTGCGGCTGTGTGCGCGGCAGTCCTCGCTGGCTCCAGACAGGGTGGCGCCAGGCAGTCTCGCGAACGGAAAAACTTACAAATTTTTCGTCGGAGAGCTTGAAGGTCCGTGCAACGGCGTAGTACAGTCCCCGTACCCTCCGGGAGATCCGAGCGGATGCAATGACCAATTATGCCACCGCGACCTTAATCATCGTGTCGAATTTCTTTTAGTATTTCTTAGGCTGCAAAGCAGCGCCATCGAAGTGGAGGGTCCACAGGACTCGAACCCACGTTTCCGTCTGCCGCCTGGACCGCTTGGAATTAGTTTTTAGTAAAATTTTCTTTAGATTTAAAGAAATAGCAGTTCAATGCTTCAAATAAAAATATATTAAACAGTTTGTATAAATTTATGTACTTACTTACATCTCTTGCTTAAGGGGACAAAAGCCGTGCAAGTTAACCGCATGGGGCTACTCTGATCTCAATTTGGCAGTCTTCAGTAAGGTGCGGATACTTGATTACATGTTCAATGCCATAAAGCATTTCATTTTGGCTCATACATATCAATATTATCAATTTCATTGCAGATAGTCAGCACATCTTGGTCATATTTTGCTCTGTTGCAAACAATGTACAGTGAATAAAATTCATTCAGCAACACTAAGCCTTCCTCCGCGTATTGGCGCGTTATTATCAGTGGATAATGTCAGATGCGCTATTGCGATATCTGTTTTTAGTACATTATGTATTAGAACGATTATGAAGTTACACACTGTTGCAATAAAAAGTAGTACATTATCGCAATAACTCATCCGATATTATCGACCGATAAAAACGCGCCTATTGGGTTGAGGCCTTACTCGTGATGGCGTGGTGCACACACAAGGTCTCTGAGACGAAAATCGCTCATACAAGGCATAAGGAAGATAAAAAATATGGCTCCAGACCAGTTTAATTCAGAAACTGATCATCGTATGTTACCAGGGTGCGTTCCACCGCGGTATAATTTTAACTTGAGTGTCATTCAAATAGGGTATGCTCACACTACGAAATTTATTTGTTGCTACTTTTGAACTGCGGAATAAAATCGCAAACAACAATATTTATTTTCATAGTGCGCGCTTGCTTGTTATAATTTATATATTTTTTCTAAATTAGATTTACCGGTGACTTATATTGTTTCGAGGTACCTACCTGACGTCTCTAAGCGGTTTGGTTCTTAATGCAAACAAACTAAATTGTGTTACCAAAATTTGACACATACAAACTAGGTATATTGGGATACCAAATTTATTCTATTTCTGACATTGAAAAGTTATTGTTATAAATCAAATGATGACCAAATGTGATTATCACCAACATGGGCAACACTACCCGACGACACCAGTAAAATTGGACAACATTTAAGGTACTATTCCTTGCATCGCGATCAATCGCGGCCGCGCGCAGCCTACGACTGTCGTCGGTCGCTCGCGACAATAGTCAGAGTATGAAAATGTATAGCACCGCTTCCGAGGCTCGCGTCCGGCGCGCACGGCCATCGAATGTCGAAAGCGCGGCTGTGTCTCAAAGTTAGGTGTTGTTCGTCAGATCCCTCTAGACGTGTGTCTACTGTAGTCAAACTCATAGTCGTAGTGCTAATTGACATTCTTCAAGAAGAAGAGGAGGATGACGAGTCGCTCTTGTTATATTATGATAAGAGAGAACCAATCGACCTTATTTTTTCATACTCTGACTATTGTCGCGAGCGACCGACGAAAGTCGTAGGCCGCGCGCGGCCGCGATCAATCGCGATGCACGGAATAGTACCTTTAGAAACGCTTTTACATATAATACGGCATAATAGGAAGCAAAAAGAGTAGCACCCTTTAATCTTTTTAACAAGATGCAAAGCGGTTGCTCTACACAAAAAGATATCTTATATAGAGATATTTGCCACCACTGCTTTATTTTTATCACACAATCGGTTTTGTAGTGTATTTCACACAAATGTAAAATAAATAATTATCCGTTATAAAAATGTATGTGGTTTATTTTTTTATTATTCTCTGTCTATATTTATCTTGAAGTGAAGGAAATCAATTTAAAAACTAATATTGTTGCAACGTTACGTCTAATTAATATCTTAGTTTAGATTTCAATGTAAAATTGTACTACATACGTGCAGGATATTGTTTTAGTAGTCTCAAACTAATCATTGGGCAGCTATAAAATGCTTGATTTATGGGGCCATAAAACAGATGTTTTGAAAGAGATCTACAGCAAGCAAACTGAAAATCACTTCTAACTTCGTGGCTAACGTATTAGTTTCGTCAAAGTATTGCAATCAGCAACAATCCATCCTTATTTATTCTTAGATAACATCCATCTCAGATAATATCCATAGAAACAAAAAACAAAAAAAAACTTATCTAAACACATAAAATTCTCGTGTCACGGTCTGCGTAATTGAACTACTCCGATACGGCTCGACGGATTTTCGTGAAATTTTATATGCATATTCAGTAGGTCTGAGAATCGGACATCTATTTTTCATCCCCTTAAATGTTAAGGGTGGTCCACCCTTTATTACTATTTTTGGACAAAATTTTTTGTTTTTATTTTTTTATGATAAATCATACAAAAATACATACCTACCCTACCATACCCTTCTACCACTAACCCCTTTATTTTTATGGCGGTACGAAGTTTGCATCGACAGCAAGTAGTTCTATAAAAATCTTATCATTTTTATAAGAGGTGCAACAAATTACCCCACCCGATGTTAAGTGTAAGTGGAGTGCAGTCGCGCTGTTAGAAAGCAAAAAGTTCACCTTGCTGGCCTGAATTCAATCCCCAACCCTGCGGAGCCCTAGAACCCTACTCACAAGCAGAATCAACAATAACAAAAGGTACTGTTATTTTACTGTAGTCTTCTGGCGGTGGAGGTTGCTTCCCCACACGGCTCCAATTCGGTGCGGTAAGTATAACTTCCAAAGGGAGAGATAAATATTAATGAAACATTTCAATCTGATAACATTCGCTGTCGGAGCTTTTAAAATTATTTTTGCCAGATCCTACATCGGATGCAGCAAAAATTGTCTGTGACATGGTGTGATAAGTCCCTTGCGTTGATGTAACCATAGCGAAAATAACCACTTTGATTGATGAAACAAGTGTAGGGTAAAATGGAACTGACTTAGCCTGTGTAAAATTCCCCAAAATTAAATTCAAATAGCATCACTAAAACTATTTTTTACTTTTCCCATCATTTACAAACAGGAGGCTATTCTGAACATCAAGTTCCTTAGCTATAAAAAAATATTAATAAACGATTAGGTATTCGACCATTTATTTTTCCAAAAGTTGACAACCCTGTATGCAACTGCCACTTCCGTGTACAACAAATTATAGTTTTCGGTATCTAACAATCATAACGTTCCGAATATTTATTGATTTTTGAGGAAACTGCATATCTTCTGCTCCAAAATTCTTGGATAAATTTTTTGTTTGTGTCTATAATCTTTTTTAAACAATTTTAACTATGAATTTTAGAGGAGAAAGGAGCAGTAGAGTAGGTGTCAACTATTCCTCAAAAAATAGTAAATATATATACATATAGCTATAGCTATTATATAGCTACAGATATAGCAATAGCTATCGATAGTTGTAAAGGTGTCCTTTCATTAGTTCTTCATTACTAGGGCAGAGGCTTTCAGAAAATAGATAGAAACCGATAGCTTAGCATAGATTAGCAGGAGCATTTACTAAGAACTGTTCTCTATTTTCTGATTAAAGAACACGATAACATGATGTGGATCGTAAATAAAAAATAACATAAATGAAAAGTTAAATTCAGTGTAACTACATATTTCATAACATCCCTTCTATTTAGAAACTGAAAATCATACTTTGCCGGAATATTAATTTAGTTTTCCACTTCGCATCTTTTAAAAGCGAGATACAACAAATGCATGAAACGAACGCGAGAAAAGGACAACTTTGATTGGGTTTGGGCGGTACGTTAATCGTGTTGGTGTGGACCGGAACGAAAAACTTGTAATCGAGTTTTAGGTAATGTATTGGTAGACAAGATGGATTCCCAAAAGATAGAAACCCGTAAAAAACTATTTTTGTTGCTACTTATTCACTCTAACATTGTAGAAGGTAGGTATTGTTCAAGTAAGTACTTCTTGAAAATAAATAAATAAGATCGAGTTTAGGTATTTATTGTTTCTAGTCTATTTCTCATGGTAATCTCAGAGATAGGTAGGTAGGGGTCTGTAATGCTGAATTGCAATAAATATATAAATAAATATTTCCATCACTCACACCAATTAGCCGAGCCCCAGAGTGAGCACTGTAGGCTTGGGCTACTAGGGTAATGGATATAATACATATACTGATACATACATGTATATTTATATAGAAATACATATTTAACATCCATGACTGGTGTACAAATGCTCGTATTCATTACACAAACATATGCCCCCACCAGGATTCGAACTCGGGACCTCTCGAGTAGGCGACACCTTGAAACCCGGCGTTTATATCAGTCGGCCACGGAGAACATCGTCACTCAATAAAAATAACGAAATAGTTATTAGTCTTTCAACAGACAAGGTATTTTCGGAAACTTCTTCAAAGCTAAACCTTATCATAATCATAATCTCTATTGTTTCATGTTGGTACATAGGTTCGTAAAATTAAAATAAGATATTCCAACATGAGCCCAGCAAGGGCATTGCCAACATTTTCTGTATTTTTTTAATTACTAATAAAATTAATCACAAACAACACGAAAAATGTTGCATAATAGATATTCTTTTAATTTTTTTCAGTATTGCTTACATAAATGGGCAATTTGGGCAATTTATTATAAATTAAGATTGACATATAATAGGCATCGGTTCTTACTAATTCTATTTTCGTAACAAGCAATCTGATCGAAGCAGGCAATGCTATCATGTTTTTGTATATAATATATCCATGCACGCAGTGTTCGGACCTGTAGCATAGAAAATACACAGTACTGGACGTCTTTACCTGTATACTATAAAGTCACGCAAAAAAGTAGTGCTATTAAAGTACCATCAAGCACCTATGCGCAAGTTGCGCATGCGAACTGGATGATGACTTACATTTTTTTCTTCGTCTATCGGGTAGATAATAAAAAAGTACAGGACACTTACTTTTTCACATAGGTAATCAAAATATTACTGTGTGTGTGATATGAAATGTCGCGTCACGTCACGTTTTGATAGATTTTTACTAAAAATTGATGTCACGAGCTCACTCACTCTTAAATTTCAACGCGCTTTTTCTCTTTGTAATTTCTTGGTTAATTGACAAAAGCAAAAATAAGTGTCTATTATTTTTTGATTATCTAACTGACGGACTAAATAGAATTTCATTTAATTTATCCAGTCATTATCCCCACTGCGGGTAATAGGTTGGGTGGGTGACCAAAACTTTATAATCTCGAGCTTCTTCATGCTTTGAACTCTCGTTAAGCCGTTGGTCGCTGCTGCATCTGCAGTCGTTAGCTTCCACTAACCAACCCGCACTAAGCGTGGTGGGTCATTTCTCATGTCTACCTGCAGTGGACATTATAGGTTGGTTAGAGTTGATGGCAACCTAAAACGAATACCACTTTTTACGA